CAAACTGGTTTGTTCGACTTTCAAGAAATTCAAGTTCTAGTGAGTTCAAGAACCGAGGTACCACTGTATTTCTAATTCACATTAGAGATACGTTAGGGTGACCAGATAATCCATGTCAGGGAGGACACTCTGAGCTAGGACAGGATTTGTAAACTACCATTTCACTTAAAAGGACCTGGATTTCACTTGAGCACTGAGTTTACTGTGTGCTAATTAGTCAATCTCCTATAATCGTGCATGTGTCACTAGAAGAAGAACTGAACTAATTAGCCGAGCACAGGAGCCTTTCAGTTTGAAATTATTTTGTAAAACCCGAAGTAGCTCAAAGTGTCCTCCCTGACATGAATTATCTGGTCACCCTAAGATACGTGCATGGTTATAGGAGACTGACCAATCAGCACACAGCAGTAAATTCAGTGTTTCTGGGTCCTTTTAATTAAAACGGTAGTTTGCAAATCCTGTCCTAGCCCAAAGTGTCCTCCCTAACGTGGATTATCTGGTCACCCTATGAGGTGTAAATTTCACAGGCTGGCATGCGGCCAAACCAGTGACAAAATGAGGATGTGCTGCAGGGGCGGAGGTTTGTTTTCAACACACACGTCACTCCCACAAACATCCATACCCAAAGCTATGCCCTTGCAGAATGGACAAGAGAGGAGCAAGCCAGATTCCCATCCTCCCCCTGTCCCCCCCCCCAGTCAGCAAGCTCCACTGCCAGCAAAACTTAGCAGGTTATCGGTGATATTAGACAAATATGACCTCATCAGTGCACCATGTGTAAGGTGACCTCACCTTTTTTAATTTCTGACTCTTTTCTCCAAATCAACCAGGATTTTATCACTCATCTCACTGTATTCCATGCGGATAGATCGACATGCATGCTGACACTAACGTCTTCACCCCTGGCTTTTCCTAGGTGATGTACTTCAGCTCTCTCTTCCCCTATGTGGTGCTTATCTGCTTCCTCGTAAGAGCTCTACTCCTGAAGGGGTCGCTGGACGGCATTCAGCACATGTTCACCCCAAAGGTACGACCCAGATTGTCCCACCTCAGCCTGGGCACAAGCTCGGCCATGTTCTGCCTGTGAAATGGAGCAGCTCCATACTGTCCAACTTCAACCATGACGTGGTCTGTGTGTTTGTACCAAGCAGTGCAAAAACCCCTCAGTGAAACATCTGGAAATTCTTCAGGTCATCTTGGATATCCTCCAGCTAGCTTGTAATATGGTGATGTGTTCCATGAGTGTTTCAGGTTACTGTGCATATCTGTATTTTTATATATATTACAGCTAAGGTAGTGTAGAAACAGTACAGACACAAACTTATGAAAAATTATGAAAGTTAGTAGCTGCATGAGCTGAATTCTAGGCTTATTTGTGCCACACCTGATACATATTTCCTTTTGGGTGAAGTTTATTTCTTTTTTCTGTGGGCAGCTGGAGATCATGTTGGAGGCCAAAGTGTGGCGTGAAGCTGCTACACAGGTCTTCTTTGCCCTGGGCCTGGGCTTTGGGGGGGTCATCGCCTTCTCCAGCTACAACAAGCGTGACAACAACTGCCATTTCGATGCTGTGCTGGTTTCCTCAATCAATTTCTTGACATCAGTGCTGGCCACACTGGTGGTGTTTGCTGTGCTGGGCTTCAAGGCCAATGTCATGAATACCAAGTGTGTTGCAATGTGAGTCCACAAGGTAAGGTGTTAAGGGAACGTTGAGGTGAAGAGCAGCATTAGGGTGACGGACACATGTTAAGAGACTCAAACATGGCACCTATTATTGGAAAAGGGTATCAAAGACATCAAAGGGAGTCACATTTGCATTCTTACACATGTCTGTACCAATGTATTCAGTCATCACTGTGTCCTTCTAAAGATCAACAGACAATATTTTCTGTCCATAATAATCCAGGAACGTGAAGAAGATAATTGGGTATCTGGGGAATGAGATCAGCCCTGATCTCATACCGAAGCACATCGACTTTAGTCACGTCACCCCGGAGGACTACCGACAGATGACGGACATCATCCATGGGGTGAAGGAGGACAGCTACGCTGCATTGGGGCTAGAGACCTGTGACATCGAGGACGAGCTGAACAAGGTCAGAGGTCATGGAGGCGTGGTCTCTGTTTTGTGTTTGCTATTGCAGCTTTACCTCGCATGTCTCCAAAGCCATTTTCATTTTTAAAATAGACCCTTTTCCACATCTTTAATATCTCATTTTCTCAAAGTTTGGCTTCATTTGTTCAAAATAGGTACTTTGAATTTACAGACGTAAGACAGTAATAAAAAATATTGATCACCTCTTGGGTTATGAGCAAATTTTGCAGTTCTCACACGTTACTTTAGCTTTGAGCAAAAGTAAATAAATAATTAAAAATAAACTAGCTGCATACAGTCACGTAAAAAAGAAAGTACACCCTCTTTTAATCCTCAGGTTTTACATATCAGGATATAATAAAAACCATCTGGTCCTTAGCAAGTCTTAAAATTAGGTAAAATGGAGCCAAAATGCAGAAGCGATAAATTAACTGCTTCCATAGGAATTAAGGAGGTACGTAGCAGCCAGGTGCTGCTAAGCAATTGCACTTAATTGATCATCAGCAAGTGTAACCACCTCTATAAAAGCAAGGTTCTGGCAGTTTGTTGGTCTGGAGCATTCAGGCGTGTGGTAACACAGTGCCAGGGAGGAAAGACGTCAGCAATGATCTTAGAGAAGCAAGTGCTGCCCATCAGTCTGGGATGGGTTATAAGGCCATTTCCAAACAATTTGAAGTCCATCAATCTACAGTAGGAAACATTCAAGACAGCTGCCAAGGAGTGGCCGTCTCAGCAAATTCACCCCAAGGTCAGACTCTGCAATGCTCAGAGAAACTGCAAAAAAACCCAGACTGTACAGACCTCAGTTAGCATGTTAAAATATGTAACAGTACAATTAAAAAAAGACTGAACGAATATGGCTTGTTTGGTTGGATTGCCAGGAGAAAGCCTCTTCTCCAAAGAACATAGCAGCAACGTACTACGTTGCAGCAGAACAAACCACAAGACTTCTGGAACAATGTCCTTTGGACAGATGACACCAAAGTGGAGATTCTTGGCCATAATGCATAGCTGGGCATCTTGCAGTCATTGAGTCAACTATGAACTTCTCTGTATACCCAAGTATTGTAGAGTCAAATGTGAGGTCATCTGTCTGGCAGCTAAAGCTTGGCTGAATTTGGGTCATACCACAGGACAGTAACCCCAAGCACACCAGCAAATCTACAACAGAATGGCTGATCAAGAAAAGAATCAAAGTGTTTCAATGGCCCAGTCAAAGTCCAGACCTCAATCGGATGAAATGCTGTGGTGGGACCTTAAGAGATCTGTGCATAAACGAATGTCTGCAAACCTCAATGAACTGAATCAACCCTGGAAAGAAGAGTGGGCAAAAATTCCTCCAAAATGATGTGAGAGACTGAAGTCATACAGANAACCCCAAGCACACCAGCAAATCTACAACAGAATGGCTGATCAAGAAAAGAATCAAAGTGTTTCATGCAACGACACAGTCAAAGTCCTCAACCCCATTGAAACGCTGTGGTGGGACCTTAAGGGAGCTGTGCATAAATGAATGTCTGCAAACCTCAATGAACTGAATCAACCCTGGAAAGAAGAGTGGGCAAAAATTCCTCCAAAATGATGTGAGAGACTGAAGTCATACAGAAAACAATTACTACAAGGTATTGCTGCTAAAGGTGGTTCTACAAGCTACCTAATCATACTTGTAGTAAGTGGTATATATGTATACTAAGTTTTTCACACATGGCTTCTGCATTTTGGCTTAGTTTTTGTTAAATAATGACACGATGTAATATATATTGTTGTTGTTGTTCACCTGAGGTTGTATTTACCTAATTTTAAGATTTGCTAAGGACCAGATGATTTTTATTATGTCCTGATATATAAAAGCTTAGAACTGAAAGAGGGTGTACTTTCTTTTATCACATGACTGTACAGTATATTGGTGTTAATTTGCATGACAGCAGAACCATGTGACTTGTGCATGGAAGCAAGGGATTGTTTTATGTAGAATCCAGCAGCGTTGGGATCAAGGCGGAACAGAAAAGAGAAATCCCTTTTTGAGGGACAGAAAGAGACAGGAATGACATTGGGTGTGATGCAGGAGGACAGAATGATCAGGAGAGTTTTCAGGATTAGTCGACTGGGGAGGAGGACAGAATTTAAACAAAGCATAAGCCATCAACAAAAATGAGAGGAGTCAGCTGCCACAACACGCCTTGTCCTGCCCCCTAATTCAACGGTGCCGGGGGATTGGCCATTCAGTGTTTCAGTGTTTTTACAGTGCAGCCCTGCCCTGCCTCCCAGGAATGATGATATGTGGTTCCTTGGGGTCCACAGGCAGTTCAAGGCACTGGTCTGGCATTCATCGCCTTCACTGAAGCCATGACCCACTTTCCCGCCTCGCCCTTCTGGTCTGTCATGTTCTTCCTCATGCTGGTCAACCTGGGCCTGGGCAGCATGTTCGGCACCATTGAGGGAATTATCACCCCCATGGTGGACACCTTCAAAGTGCGCAAGGAGTTCTTCACAGGTGGGCTTACAGAACATTGGGATGTCAAGACAACAGCACAAGCAATGCTCCGTGTCTTGTATGAATTGTACTGTTTGGGCGTAAATTATCATAGGCTTGTGCTGGGGTCCCACATTGTTCTTGGATGTTTTTGGACTGTTTTCCTGTCCCCATGTAGCTGTGTTTAACACTAACGTCGATTTTGTTGCTCCTTGTTACCCATGCTAAACACAGCGGGCTGTTGCCTGCTGGCGTTCAGCATCGGCCTGCTCTTTGTGCAGCGCTCTGGGAACTACTTCGTGGCCATGTTCGACGACTACTCTGCCACGGTGCCCCTGCTGATTGTGGTGGTCCTGGAGAATGTGGCGGTGGCCTGGGTCTATGGTGTCGACAGGTATGTGTTATGGGAGCATCGAAAATGCGAGTCTCGCCTTTTACCTTCAGTCGATCTTGCAGGATGCCATGTTGATGTCGGCGTTAAGGTATTCTCTGAATGCCGTGTTCAGCAATGCTCCTATTTATCGCACCACTGGGCTGCTGTGCTGTTCCCTTGATTAACATCTGTCTTTGTGAGGCAGATGATGTCATTGCATTGATGTTTTTTGCTGTCAGTTCACCTCAGCTGCCCTGTTTTTAACAGATTCTTTGAGGACCTAAAGGACATGCTTGGATTCTCACCGTTCCGCTTCTATTACTACATGTGGAAGTACTTTACACCCTGTGTGCTGCTGGCGCTGTTGGCAGCCAGTGCCATCCAGCTTGGCATGACGCCCCCCAGCTACAATGCTTGGATCGAGGAGCTGGTAAGTACTGGTAAGGCTTTGGTCACACACATACAACCCTATGATTTTTTGTTTGTTTTTCTTAGTGTTTATTTAGTTCCTCAAAGGTAGGGCATGTGGACAGTCACACAAAGCAATCCCACCCCCTCCCTTCAGGCATCCCTCCGAAGCCACTCCTCCTCCTTCCCGTTTCCCCAGTCTACCCTCACGTGTCCCTTCCCCTGTCCTGTGCACGAGCATGAATGCCACCTGTTGGGACAGATGAAAATCGCATACCCTACTTTAAATATCCCATAATATTGTGTTTTTCAGGATTCTGCTTCTGTACTGTGTATACAAACCATTTGTTTGCATTGTGTGTACTGTCCTTGCACCTTGTCTGTTTTGCGTTAAACGTTTGTTCATCTGTGCACCACGAACCTCACTGCTTTGTGCAGAATTTCTCCATGGCATCAAAGTTTCTCTACTCTAATATGATCTAATTGAAATCGAATGATCCTAGAGCTATAGAAAACAGACGTTGTGCATCATGTTGTTTGTATCCCAGGCCCAGGAGAAGGCACTGCTTTACCCCCCCTGGGGTCTGGCCATGTGCGGCTCGCTGGTGGCCTTGGCCGTGCTCCCTGTGCCCGTGGTCTTCGTGCTCCGGTTCTTCGACCTCATCAGTGACGGATCCAGCAGCCTCTCCAACGTCTCCTACAAAAAGGGCCGGATCATCAAGGAAAGTCCTGGTGCCGAGGATGACGACACCAGCCTCATTCAGGGCAAGTCCCCCAGCGAGGCCCCCTCCCCAATGCCCGGCAAGAGCATTTATAGGAAGCAGAGTGGCTCCCAGGACGTGGACACTGCCCCCAATGGCCGCTATGGGATTGGCTACCTAATGACTGACGGGTCTGACATGCCCGAATCAGGTTTATAGCTCTCCCATTTGACAGTCGTTCATACGCAACCATTGATTTGTCTGTACATCCGCATACATGGACTTGTATAATACCGTGTAAGTAATGTAGGCCCTGTCTTGTACACCTGCCATGCTGTCCTTTTTCATAGGCTGGGCAGCTCTTCGCTTTGCTGTGTTTTACTGCAGATTGGCTGTGGGTCGGGCTCCTGCTCAACACAGTAGGAAGCTGTCTTGTCTTAGCTGTGTGACTCACTGCACATTCGGCACGAGGTAAATACTGAGGAAACGCCCCAGCCCTGATTAGATCTTGCAGGAGCAGCTGGGGGTTCGGCTCGTGAGTCTCAGAAGCATGCACCTCAGATTTGCGCAGATTCATTCTTAGGACACTTGCTGAGTTGTGTATATGTATACAGTGTTCTGTAAATACGTTATGTTTATCTCAGTACCTTGCAGTACAGAGAAGTTGCTTTTTCGTCAGGTGATTGTTTTGTTTACTCGTGCTGTAAACTAGGTTTATGCTTCATCTTCCTGTAAATACCTTTTTGCACTGACCTGCTAAAAGCGCAACATCCGCCTTGTGAGATTAAAGATCAGACGTGATGCTGACTGCCCCGTGTGCTGACTCTTGCCGGTTTGGAGAGCTGACGTGACACCCGCCCGAGATCTTTGATCGTGACGCTAAGTATGGATGGAGGCTAAAGAGGAACTGACATGGAGGGTCTGGTTCTCCGTCAGCGAAACATCGATAACGACAAACACCAAAACAGCTGCAAAAAAGTTTTATTTTCAGCCTAAAAAGACACAGCATGATACTATGGTTCCACCACCTATACACCAAGTAACGGTTAAAGTGTGACAAGTGGAGGCAAAAGAACCCGCGCAGAGTGCGTTTAAAAATGTATAATGCAGAGTTACGAGTGCATTGACACACTTGTACCATGGTCACTATACATTTCACTTACACGTTTGTGCCTGAAGACATTTATGAATCAAGGTATCTGCTTTGTTAAACTGTATCTTTGGAAAACTGAAGACCGAGTTTAGAGAAGTTTAATTTATGGATATACAATATTTAAATTATAGCAAAATGTATGTTAGCTGCATTTTGTTGGACATTTTTCAAGATAATCGCCCCCGTCCCAGCTGCTTTGGACCATTCCTGCTTTGGGACTTCATGCTAGCCAGCTTTCTCTTTACATTGGAGTCTGGTGGGAGGCTAATGGCTGTTTCGCTGCCAAGCAGCACAAAGTAACTCAACAGAAGAAGAAATGGCTGCAAAGGTTACAAGACTAATTTTACAGCTCCTGTGTCTTTGATACTGTCCTGCTAGAGTGGTAGACGAATTGTTATCAGATGTAGAGAGAAGACAAAATTAAACAAACGTATGAAAAAATCAAGACTAACCTTAGCCTCGGAAGCAGAGTAAGGCATAGACTGTCTTAAGCTACAACCTAGGGCTGAGGTCAGCAACCTTTTTAAAGCAAAGAGCCATTTTATCCTAAATGTCCGACCCAAGATTTTCAAAGAGAACATCCCAATGTTCTGTTCAGTTCTGTAGCGATAGTCTTCACCCTCACCCCTTCTTTATGAGTAAAGCTCGTTTGGCTCTGTAGTCGTTTGCCCTTCACTCTCCACTTCACTGCTTGTAACTGTGCTGACCGAGCTGCGTAAAATGTCCTCACCACTCCCAACTCAGCTGGATTTAATATGTAAATCGGAGAAAATGTAATAATTTTTATGACAACCTGGGAAGGCATGGTGATGATTTACTACAATAAGTATATCAAAGAAATAGGAATCCCAATAAACTTTTAAGCCTACATCTAATCTGGGACACTGAAGAAAACTCTGGAAAGCACACCATTCGCCATAGAGAATGACTGAGGAAGATGCTAATTATGCAGTTAAGACATTGCAGAAGCGTGTGATGGACCGCCTCATTCACATATAGCTAAAGAAATACCTAAATGAAAAATACTAATATTAACCCATAAATAAATGATTTAAATTTACGAAAGTATAATATGTTAAGACATGAAAATGTGAATGGGTCTATCGTTCTGAGAAGAGCCGCAGCCTCGTGCTCAAAGAGCCGCAGGTTGCTGACTCCTGACCTACGGTCACGCAAACTTCTTAAATGACACCAATGAATCCACTGGTGCGATACCCCCCCGATCAGTGCATTTCACTGGCAGCATTCCCACCGCCACCCTGACCGGTAAGTTTTACCGCTGATTAGCAGATTATTGATGTTCCATCATTGTTAGTTCCCTCTCATTTCTCTGTTAATCCGCCCCTTACTACTACTGAACAGTTTGCTTATTTCCGCCCCAAGTCAACATTCTTAATGCGAAAATAGTCCGTCGCTGAAACCATAAGCTAGCAGTTAGTTCGAAGGCCTGTCTTTGTTTCCAAACGTGTAAGTCAAATGTGTAGTAACCGTGCATAAAAGCATTATTAAAGTGTGGTTGCAGGGGCAAAGAAATGTGAATATATAAATGTAAATACATAGATATATGAATAAAACCCCACTTATTTAGTGTTTACTGATTATTATAACTTGACCATCTCATTTAGTTAGGTTAAACAGGATTGTAATTGGATTACAAGTTCATTATATCAGAAAATCATTTTGTCATGTAGTCACCAACCACAGGTCCTGGTCCTCAGCCTGAAGTACTGTTGTAGTATTTTCTTATCTTATATAGTTTAGTATGGTTAATTTGAATTTAAGATTATAATCACACATTACCTTAATACTGTGATAGTAAAATACATGTTAGTGATTCATTTTATGACTCATTTGTGCAAAACTGGTTTCATGTAGTATGTTTAGCTGGAAACTGGAACTGAAGTATATAATTATTCTGGGGATAATGTCTTGTTTATGAAAGTGACATTTGAGGAGGTTATGAAGACATTCAGATTTCCATGGTGACCGAAGGTGTCTGAAAGAGCGCTGGGCCGTTCGCCCGGGTCATTGCTGAACCCGATGGCTTCAGTCCTTCCCCTTGCAGACGCTGCACTCGCAGGCTGTGATGTGCCTGTATGTGTAGGTCTGCATTTTGTTGCCACGGCAGGTCAGCTGTACTTGCCGCTGTTCAGAGCTCTTTTCCTGGCAGCAACTGCAGGTCCCATTCATTTGGAAAACACCCTTTGAATATGTCCACCTGAAGCAGGATAAGATCACACCAGATCAGCTAAGAAAATGGATTGTTCAGGTAGATAACCAATTAGATTGTAGAGGAGGTGAGTCCAAGCAAATAGAGAAGGGGAGACCAACCAATCAGATGTCATGGTCCCACCTCTTCTAGTTGCTTGGTTCTCTCTCTGAACCAAGCATTTTTTTTTTATTAATTTCTGTATGTAAAACTTCCATGAGCAAAATTATCCTGCATACATCAGGCAGGTACATAAAATGCTCATCAGAGACAAAGTACAAAGACAGTAATACACAGTGCAAAAGTTTTAAAAGAACAAAATAGTGCTGTAAATACTGCTGTAAATAAATATAAATGAATTAACACATGGGGGTGTTCCACGAAGTAGGATTAAGGGAAAGTCTGACTTATTTCAACAAGTCTGGCTCATTTAAGTGGAAGTTCAGTTCCATAAATGTGTATTAAATGAATCCCCGCTGAGCTACTATGGTAACTTAGACGAGTGAACAAGTCTGCTCCAGACCAGCTTAACCGTCTCGCTTAGTTAACCATTGTCTCAAAGAACGTCTGACATGTGGGAACAGATTCCCAAAAGATCGTTCCGTCGGACGAAATTCCGTGCTTTCACTACTCACGTCATGTAATCTGTTGAATCATCTGTCATAACATTTTACATTTTCTGATTGAATTATTTTGTTAACCTGTAGGGTGTAATGTACCAAAATGACATGCCCCTATACATCTGATTGTACGACCACGATCTTTGTGTGCAAGTACCTACAGTGCGTTTTTCTGTTTTAAGTGACGTTTTCGTTTGAGTTAGCGGGAGAGTGAGCCTTGTATATGTGTGTGTGTGTGTGTGTGTGTGTATATATATATATATATATATATATATATATATATATAAATGGAACCCTGTAGTCGGTGCTGTGAGTAAAAGCAAGATGAGAAAGCAGAGAATAAAAACCATCTTTTCTGAAGTAACCTTCTGCGTGATATTTCCATGATATAGAGAAAAGAGCTGAGATTGCAATATAATCAATATAATAAAGCCTATAAAATCATATCTCAGCATTCCAATTAATTCCAAATTAATAAAAATAAAAGCATACCCATATTACAAAGGTCAAACATGAAATGCAATGATTGAAGTTGGAAAAAAAATCTGTTAAAATAATATGAACAGAAAGATATTTTTATATTTTGTTTAGTCACAGTCTACTTTGAAAGTTTATTAGTAAAAAGCAAAGACAAGATTTGTTTTTTTGTGCAGAGCATTTCACACGGATGCGATTGTAAGTATTTTACGGAGATAAAATAATACAGAATAACATTTTACAGTAAGAATGACTTAACCTGTGGCGAGAGAGAAAAGAGGTACTGTAGATCCAGTTGCTGCTGAGATACCAAAAAACTCTGACCGGAAGAATATATTCTTAAGAGCCTTAAGAATAAAAGTACATCTGCCCTGAGAATTCTGATAGCTAAGAAACCGCTACACAGGCCCCCCCCAGAATTCACAGAGGCAGGGAACCCCATTTCTTAGGGGTCTGATCACCCGCCCTGACCTGCTCAGTATCACCCACAGGAGCAGACACAACCGGTCACGGAACTGAAAAGCGCAGGCGACCCCTATAAGGAAGCTGGCCGAGTGGCACTGGGGCATCTAAATCTAAATGGGCCGGCTTCAAACGGTCCACAGAAATGCGGTCGGCCTTATCACCCATTTCTAAAACAAAAAACCAGGCTGCAGCACACAAAAAGGCCCATTGTGGGGGGGGCCCAGAAGATCGCGGTGGGCATCATGCCGAACGAAAATAAAATGGGCATCCGCCAGATTCGGGAGAACATGAGATCGCGGGAACCCGTAATGCGACGTGGGTGTTGGACCAAAAGCGGCCGCAGTGTCCCGAAAAGCTGAGCGCTGCTGTGAGGCCAACCAAGCAGCCAACGTATCTGGTTGAAAATCACCAGGTACCCGCAAGGGCTGTCTATAGACCAACTCAGCAGAGGAAGTCTGCAGGTCAGCCTTCGGAGCAGTCTGCAAACCCAGAAAAACCCATGGCAACCTGTCAGACGAAGAAGCATCCTGAAGAGATGCACGAAGGGCAGCCTTCACAGAGTGGTGAAAATGCTCACACAACCCGTTAGCTTGCGGGTGATAAGCGGTGGTGTGGTGTAGAGTGATCCCTAGCTCACAGGCAATTGCACCCCACAATTCGCATGTGAACTGCGGTCCGTGATCAGATGACAAGTTGGCAGGCAAATCAAAACGAGAGACCCAGGAGCCGATGAAAGCCTGAGCCAAGGCAAGAAGCGGCCCAGTCACGGATGTCCTTTTTCATTCCACGCCAAACAAACTTAGCTGAAAGCAGCTTTTGTGATGCCTTGCGTCCAGGATAAGAAAGGCTATGGACAGCATCGAAAACCCAATGCCGCCAGCCACGCGGCATAATGGGCTGCACAGTTCCTGTTGAGACATCACAAAGCAGTGAGGCGTCACCAAAGGGCACGTTCTGGACCTGCAGACCAGTGTCAGCAGACCACAACCCCGGAATCTCATTGTCAGCTGCCTGGTCCACTGCCATTAGTGCATTATCCACACTGAAGTGGACAGAACCAACCACTGAATGAGAGAGGCAATCAGCATCCACAGTGCTGCCACTTCCCCCACAAGTACGCCTGAAGCCCGTACCTTTAGGGGTACCCGTTTGGCCCTTAAAGATGCCAGATCTCCAGAGGACACCATTCCTAGGATCTCCAAGTCTTTTAAAAAGGCAGTGTCCGTAGCTACACTCCCCATGGCATCTTCCCCAGAGGCGCATCTCCCTGTGGCTCCTGCTCCTGTCCCAGTAGTTCCCGCTCTGCTCTCCGTGGTTCCTGTCCCGACGGTTCCCGCTCAGCTCTCTGTGGTTCCTGTTCCGGCGGTTCCTGCTCCCAACCCCCCGGTTCCTGCTCCTGAACTCCTGGCTCCCATCCCAGAGAAGGTCCCTGATCCCCCTGAACCTACTTTGCTCCCTATTCCAGACCCCTTACCTCTGGACCCTATCCCCCAGAGACCCAGTAACTCCTACGATGACTCGTCGCTCGTCTACACCTTCGCCGGCTTTTGGGGTGCAGTCGCCTGCAGTGGCTCCTTCTCCCTCCTTGCCTCCTCCAGCAGTCCCTCCTGCTCCCTCCTTGCCCCCTATGATGTTCCTTCCTGCTCCCTCCTTGCCTCCTCTGGCAGCCCCTCCGGCTCCTACCTCCCCGGTCGTGTGGGGTCCCTCTTGCTTCGTGGGCGCGGGGAGTCCCTTTGGTTCCCTGGCTCCCCCCCACCCTTCACCACCTGGTTTTGTTGCCCCTGTCTGTGTGCCCCCTGTGTTTGCTCCCTGTCTGCTTGTTGCGCCTTGGCTTCCTCCCTGCAGGTCCCTTCCCTTCGGGGGTGTTCCCTTTGTGTCGTTTCCTGTAGTGTTCCTGGATCCTATGTTTCTGTCCTTGCTTTCCCTGTGTCTGTCTGTGTTTCCTGTAGTTTGTTGTTTATTGTCTGAGTTATTCTCTTTGTGCCTGTTTGCGTGTCGGTGCTGTTCTCGGTATCCCGCTGAAGTCTTTGCTCTTGTTTCCCTCCAGGTGGTGTTTTCCAGTCTGTTCCTAAGTCCTGTGTTGTGTCTCGTCTGCCCCTACCTGATCCGGCTGTGCGCGCCTTTGAGGGGGGGATTCTGTCACGTCCCAATCATGCCACTCCCCCTGTGTGCCACGCCCCCTCGTTAACCTCGTGTGGAATCCTCTTGATTACCAGCTGTTCCTAGTCTTGTCCGATTGAGTCTGTGTATTTAAGTGCTTCCCAGTTAGTCTTTCCCCAGTCTTATGATCGCTGATGTTTCTCTGTGCTCCCGATCGTGTCATCCCTCTAACAAACCCCGAGTTTGTTCTTCTCTGTTTCTCATTAATGAAGGGCTTCTTTCTTGCTTTATAGGTCTTCAGTCCTGCTTCTTAGAGCCTGATACGAACTGTCCTAGCAAGGCACTTCACACCTGCACTTAATGTTTCCCATTACTTCTGAAGGTCACTTAATGTCACCCTATGATTGATGATGAGACTGTCGGATAAGTTAACGGCCATCTCTGGCATTAGGACGTTTCTTCTGCCTTCTACCTGACTGCTTTCTGGTCATTCCCAGTGTCTCCTATTTCACTTGTGAACTGCTGTCTTAGAAATGTTGCCTGGAAGCAACCTGATGCTCAACATAGCCTTCTACCAGCAGAACCACAGTTAAACCAGGATTTAAAAATGCAGGTTTGGTTTTTTTTTCTGTGGCTGTATATTCATGCGGACACACCTCACTTAACAACCTACCTGTCTAATGACCGCTCAGACTTACAATCAGCTCTCCAAGAACTTTGGTCACGGAAAGGGCAACACAGCATCTCAGCATCAACCATCTCATCTCACATCACCTTTTCTCAGTCTCAGTCTTGTTCCCGCAGTTGCTCAGTATTCACTACACTACAATTCAAAATCTCTAAGAATGCATAATTCATCTACAAATTTATGTTGTTGGAGGTTCAACCTGCATAATCGGAGTACCAGCGGTGAGGCGGCAAGTGTGGACATAGAAGCAGCGGCAAATTTTGTTATCTAAACTGATTTTTGAGATATGCAAATTAAAAGTTATAAAGTTTCCTTTACACCTTTTCTTTATTCAGAATAAATAAGAATGATTACCTGTATTTACAGTATGCAAACCTATATAATGTATATTACTGATTTCCTCTATTCTGTTTATTACAGAATACAATACACTACTGTATAAATATTTACAAATATACTAAAATTGTTATAAGTAGTGCAAAGGTGACGTTAAAACAGTATGTAAGGATGGTTGACACAAATCCACCACCAGTACAGTATGCTTGAAATATCAGTATTGCTTATTGACCAAACTGCTTATAAATGTAGTCGTTAATTTCTGATGTTGCCAAATAAAATGACGAGGGTCTAGTTTCCCTGTGTACTACAATCAATAAAGTAAAACTAAGCTAACAGAAAGCAAGACATTTAAAAGCAGATTTATATCACTGATACAGTTACAAGATTACCAGTCTACCCACATTTCTGTATATCTCTGATCAGATTAGTAGACCAGACTGGATTTTTACCATGAACAATTTACAGTTAATAATGTGAAGACACAGCAAATTGGACTCAGACTTACATTGAAGATGACTGACACTGGCCCTGGCACGTGGGGATCTGTACTGTTCCAGTGCAGCCTCCATATGATAGTACAGTGGGTGACGTCGTCACAGAGCAATTGGTGCTGCCTGCAATAAACAAACTACATGATCAACATATTTTATTCTGAAACTCAACTATATCACCACTAGAGGCCGCCACAACTCATTGGTTTCCTACAAGACTTTAATGGGGACACACCATGATGTGTTTGGTAATACGAATTTTTTGGGCACAAGAACACACCTATGGAATAATCTTGCAGTTATGTAAAAATAAGTAAAAATTTGAAAATCTTGATTTTCATACAAAATCCATCAATTACTGGATAGGAATTTGATGAATTTCCTGATGTACGTTATAATTAAGACTTGGCTGACTCGAGTTATAAGATTAAAAGCCACCAGTCAACCCTGAAATAACTGAAAAGTTGGTGGAATTTCCATCGTCAAATGTATCACTGGTTAACTTGTTTCCTGTCTTATTCAGAAAAACAATATGCCCATCATATTTTAAAGATTCCTCTTACATTTGTAGCAGCAGTGCTGTGCGTCCCAAATCCTGAACTCCTGAAAACAAACACAACAGAAAGAATTACAAGTGCAGAAGAGAACAATAAGGTGGACACTTCTCACGGTGACAGTATGATAAGTGTCGTATGACCTGCTAAAGGGGACAGTGCATGTTACTGTATGAGCAAATGCAGTGGACAGTTACCTCTGCACAGGTCACAGCTCCAGGACAAACCATTGTTTTGGTATTTATTCCTTGCTTCTCACAGACGTAAGTAACACATGGATCATTAGGGTCGTTCCAACTCTGACCGACCTGCACCAGTGAGACAGACTTGATCACATACCTGATGCAGGAATGTCATGTAAAAAGCCAATATTTCTGGTTATAATCTCTACTAAACCCATATCTATCAGAATTACTGACATGTTTACTCTTTCCAATTCAGTCTCCGGCTACTTTCTTAAATCACTTTCTAAATACCTGATACACTTTTCCATTTTGCTGACAGGTCCTGGGAACTGTGGAATAAAACAAGAAATATTACACTCCAAGCCATACACTGCATTCTGTCATTCTTGGACTCTTTCATACTGGAGGAATCAGCTGTGTGTCAGCTGGCTTTAGTTGGTCTTTCATTAGATGTTTTGTTTATTGGACGATCACCATGCATTACAACAAAGAAAACAAACGTCCGATTTCTAATTCCATCAAAATTACCGCACACTGAGGAATGGCAACAAATCTGAAGCTGACGAAAACCACGTGCTCCGCTGACACGCCACAAGGTTTACTTCCTGCTTTGCTTCCGTTTACCCATGACCCTACATCCCTACAGGCAGAATCGTACAGTAGGTGCAGGGACTGGAATGCATCACTACATGTAGGTATTTGCATGGGTTCGGGTAACTTGACAGATAAATCCTATACATAATTTGACAAGAATTTGTGCAATAATATTTCAAATAAATAGAAATATCATGTGGTATGGCTCCAACACGCCATGTTATGAAAGGGGCGCTACTCTTAGGATGCATTACCACATATGGTTGTATTCCAGCATGTCTGGCTACTGGTGATGGCCATCTGGGCGTCTGTGCAGGTGACAGGGGGAGGAGGGGGCAGGGGCTCACACTCCTCGGTCTTGGTGATTTTACTACAAGTGCATTTGTGGCACTCCGACTCCCAGGTGTCACCAGGCTGCGGGGAGACCATTCATCAGTTCATCAGTGACTGAGAGAATAAACGACTCTATATGTAACCTTCCCCCAGAACTCTGGTATTCTGATGGAAGTGCTTAGAAAAAAAAATGGTCAAGGCAATGGATGGGTCCCGTATAAAGAGTGACTTTCCTAGAGATAGACCAAGAGTACAACTCAGACAATGAAAGCTGAGTTGACCCTGATGACACAGAGAACAAAATTAAAAAGCAGAGAAATGCACACTGTACTAGACACCCAGTGTTGCTTAGAAGCATTTTATCATGTTATTTGTCTGCCTATAAAGAACAGGGTCTCCCTGCTTTTCAATTCACTCTGGAAATATTACTGCAGATAACTGAGATGTAAATTTTGACCTTTCTGTATCAAAATTGAACTGATTTGGCTAATCAATGAGTCTATTAACCTCATTATTACATTATTGTATGGAAACAGGCGTTATTGTCTCAGTCGGCACTTTGGTGAAATTCATCTTAGCTTGTACAGTACAGTAAGAATCAGAAAGAGCAAATCTCACCTGCTTAGGAACTCCAAGCGGACCCTTGCAACCTGAGGACAGAATGAACAAGTCAAGATAAGTTAAATAGATAAGGTATGAGAGTGACACAGAGCCCATGGGCCCTATTTAGAGTGCATAACATTTTTTGCCTGGTTAATAGGTTTATTCTAAGATACTTTGACATCATCATCTTCACCATTTACTGTGCA